GCTCTAGTAAGAGGGAAGAAGAATAAACAAGACTATGAATGGAATAAAAAATCTGCAAAAAAACACTTATATCCTGCACACTGATTTCCAAATTGGTACAGATATTTCATATCTGTTTCAAGGATTAAAACAGCAGACTGAGGTTTCGTGCTTCAATGTTGGATGCTCTCTACCCTGATTGCCAGAAGGGTTTTTGTATCAAATTCAGATGTTTTCAACTGTTAGGTAAAGCTGTGTTGTATTATTCATCATCTCAATCACAAAATGTATTTGCAGGACAGCTGCCTTACATGAAGGACAAACTAGGAATAACTGCTCAAGTAACAAATCTATATGCAAAGAGACAGTTCTCAGTGAACGATTTTTGCAATGCACATGAGTTTGCAATCTTAACTACAACATTGGCTTCCAACAGCATTATGATAATACAGTGTTGTGTATATACATCACTTAATCTTTTAAAAATTCTCTTCTTCATCTAACGGAAGTAAGTCTTGCCTATCAGCTTGGTAGACTTGCATCTGAAGAAGTGAGGTTCTTACCCACGAAAGCTTATGCTCCCAATACTTCTGTTAGTCTTAAAGGTGCCACAGGACCCTCTGTTGCTTTTGTCAGGAAACTGACCACTTCAAGGATCCAAGTCCAGGCTGAGCAGCTAAAAATTGGCAGCAGGTTAAATGAATGCTTATGCACTTCCAGGGCCATCCTGAGGTCTCTTATACAATAAGGGTACCACCTTGACCCTCCATGAGCTTCCCAATGAGGACTGCCCTTTTCACCCTCAGAGTCAGATCCTTGTGAAGTCTGAGTCAAGACACAACTCTAAGTGCACAGATAGCTCAGCTGTACTGCTTCTGATGCAGACAACTATTGGCCCAGAATGATGACTGGGATCCACACTTCTGCTAACCTCACCTGTCTCAGAGGTGAGTACCAGACTGTGGCAGAATATTGAGGGTGGGAAGGAACAGAAAAGTTGGACAGTAAGTGTGGCACAAAGAGTGTGAGGAGAAGCTAAGTGGGTGACAGCTAGGGAAGAAAGGGGAGGAGAGGGGAGCAGAAGAAAAAAGGTAAAAGAGAAAAAATCCCTAAAGCATAGAAAACGCAAGAGAAAGGAATGAGAATCCTTTCCCTTCCCTTCTCTTTACTTTATGCATCTTTCTGACTCCACACTGAAACCATACCCTACAAACTCCTCCTCTCCCAGGGCAAATGTCCCAGTTTTTCCCCTTGAAAATCTGATCACCCTTTACACTTTTTATTTTTAAACATAAACACTGTCTCAGGCTATTAAACTATGGTAAACACTTTCATCAATTCAAACAGCTCAAATGTTCAGTGTGACCTTTTTGATGTTTGTGTATGAATTCATCTAGAAGACATTTGTACTTAGGGCTTTTTGACAGTACATGTTCTATTGATATCACAAATCCTGAGAACATTTGCCTCTGAAGAACTCAAGAACTTCTTGATCAGTGGTGGTTTTTGCTGTGTTCTGCAATGGGCACAGTTAAAAATACCGACCCGAACCATTTACTACCACACAAGCGTGCAGGTATTTCTGCAGCCTATTCTTTTCAATTAATTTAAGATTTTTCTAGTGGCGATGAAAGTGTGGTTTGTTACTCATAGGAACTGCCATACAGGATTGGACCTGAGAGTGTTCGGTCTCCAACAATGTTCAGCACCAGGAGCTTCAGAGGAAGGTGCAAAAACCCTGCAGTAGACAGATGTGGGATAATTTGTCCCCCCATTAGGTCCTGATCGCTAATAGAGATTAATTTAAACCATGAATCATCAGAGTTAATATTCCGTCAAAAATCTGTCACAATTCATTATGATAATCCTCGCTATATAAACGTCCACTGCCATTTTAAATCTTGCTAAATTCTTGGTCTCAACTGCATTCCGTGGCAGTAAGTTCTACAGTCTAGTTATGTTGTGTGTGAAAAAGTATGACCTTTTATCAGTTTTCAATTTGCCATCTTTTAATTTCATTGATTGTCTCCTTGTTCTTGTGTTTATAAAAAAAAAAAGAAGAGAGAACGGAATAGAAGAGAACAGAAGCTCTTACCTTATAATATATAAACTGGTATAGAGATGGTAGAAGCTTCTGTTTTCTTTAAAAAATATATATATATATATATATAGACACATACACTTTTGATCATGTCCCCTCTTATTCATCTCCTTTTTAAGGTAAACAATCCTAATCTTTTCATTCTCTCTTCATATGAGAACTTTTCCATGCCCTTAATGATTCTTATTGCCTTTCTCTGAATGAACCACCTCTAATTTTACAGCATCTTTTTTGAGATGGTGACCATGCTTCCCAACTGCAAAGGATTTATGATCAGCATGATCATACCATAATGCACAAGGACTGCTTGAAGATTTTTTTTGGGGGGTGGAGGGGTTAACAAGCTGGCTCTTCATAACTCTGCTCCTCCCTACATGTACACTCTTGTCTCTCATCATTTTATCCTTTCCTCCTGACCAATGCTGCCAGCCTTGACTCCTTGTTGCTCTTATCTTTGTGAGTTCTTCCACAATGTCTGTCTGCAGGGAACCTCCTCCTTGAATGATCCATAAGGATTCTTTTCCCTCTTCCAAGTCTTCCTCCGGATACACTGCTATATTGATGCTACAAGAAAATATGAAATTAATAGTTCTAGGTAGATATTTAAAGAAAATAAATTGACTATTTTTGTCCCTCTCCTCCATCCTTCATTAGATGCCTCTCTCTCCTCTGATTGTGAATTCTTATTAGTCTTATGATGTGTTTAGACAGGGCCTAGCTGATTGTCAGGGCTTCCACACCACAATCAATGTATAATTCTTCTAATTCATTTAAGATGTGTGTGCTCCCAGTCTCTTACTGCCGAAGAAGTAGAGCCCAGCTTTTTGTGCTGGGGTCAGTACATACTTGCCTGTATTTAGAAGAGCTTTCCAAAAGACAATTGCCCAAATAAACTGGGGTTCTGGGATGGCTGCTACATCCCCAGCCACTGGAGAATTGTTGGCATTCTGTTGAGATTTAGGGCTTTATATTTATATTTATAATACCTTACAAACTAACTACTTTATTGTTGTTACTCCTCTGGAAAGTAGGTGGTGGTATCAGATGTGGAAACTGAGGCACAGAGAAGTGAAAGCCGAATTTGAGTGTATAAAGTTAGGCACCTAAATTCATATTTAGGCATCTAACTATAAGAGGTTTGATTTTATTTTTCACTGGGGCTTAGCACCTGCAACTCCTCTTGAAGTAAACTAGAGTTGTGGGTCCTTTACACCTCTGGACTTAAGTGTGTAAAGTTTGAAATCTTGCCCTGTGGGACTTGATAAAGATGGCAAAAGGAGTCTGTGTCAGCCTAGGGTTCCACTTCTTTTACAGCAAGATGCTAGGGCAGCAATACTGTTGCTTGTGTTCCATTAGCATTCTACCGTGCAAATGAAGGTGTGATTGTAGGTAGCAAAGGTAACAGTGGCAGTGCAGACGTGGAGGCATAGGCTTCAGATAGGGCTAACAACCAGAATCAAGCCCCTAATGAGCCTGGATCCATACTCTGGTTATTAGCCTATGACACTCTGTCTACACTGCTATTATTGTGTAATAAACGGAAACAGAACAGGTTACACAGATAAAATGCTATCCTAGGTCTACGCTTATCAATGTTTAATAAAGTAGATTTTCTCCAAGGATTCAGTCTTTGATAGAGCTACTGGTTTTCGGGCAACACCAGAATCAAATAGTCATGAATGTCTCACACCATTCAAGGGGTTTCCTCAGTGAATGGATGTTCTTTTTTGTCTTCTACTTGTATCTCCAGAGTTGGTTATCTTTGCCCCTATCAAGGATAGCCACCAGTGATTCAGTGTTTGGTATCTTCCCATCCCGTTTACTGCATATGCAGATTTGGCGTACAATGCGTAATTTACATCTGCCTTAACACAGACTTTTTAGGAACATACTTCCAGTACATGTACATAACTCTTTACATGGTAGAAATAAATACATCTTGCAAGGATTATGAGAATCTGTAGGCTTTTATTAGATACGTGCATGATATTCTTTATGGATACATCCTAGGAAAGCAATGTGTTAGCTGCAGTGATCTTGTCAGGCATGATAAGAGTTGCTGACATAGAATAGTGAACCTTTTGCCAGCTGCATCAATGGGTCTCTGTGTCACAACACACTCTTATCTGTGTAAGTTGGCATGGGGCTTCCTAAGAGTCAAGGGGCACTTAGATTCCCAGGCTCTCAAAGGAGAGCCTGAAGTGGCTGTGAAAGGACGTGTGATCTTTAGGAAAAATCAGTGACAAGCTTTCAGTCCTAGCAACTGGTTTGCACTAGCTACCTTTTCAGTGAGATCTCTGCAAAGAAAAGGGCTAGATGCATTTAAAAAGGTGCGTTTCTCCTTTGGCTTTCTCTGTTTCTCCAACTTAAGGGAGGGTCTGGCTATAGATTTTTGCAGGTCCCCAAAGGCCGCCGGTGAGAGCAAGGAGTTGAGCTGCCAACATCAAAGCCCTGGCTACTGCGGCAGCTGACATAGCAAGATTAGGCTGCACCTGTCGGCTAGCTTCAGTCCCTGCATGCAAACCTCTAGCCGCAAATCCCGTGGGGTCCATAGCACCCCTCTCAGAAAACACCCAGCCACCTCTTCGCGCCCCCTCCGCTCTGTCAGTCTCCCCGTCCCGGTACCTCCATTCCCTCTGCTCCCCAGCTTTCCTCCATCTCCCCCAGTCATCCCCCGGCCTCAGCCTCAGCCTCCCCCAGCTGGGCGCAGGGTTGCGGCTCCCCTCCCCGCTTGCTCCTGGGCAGCAGCTTCTGCCCCTGCGGGCGGGAGCCCGCCCATGCCTACAGCAGCGGCCCGCGGTGATGGGGCGCCGTGCGTGTATCAGCGCTGGCCGCGGGCTCGGGCCGCGGGGATTGGTCGGCTGCAGAGCTGTGCTGCCCGTGCACTGACCCAGCGCGCGGCTCCTCCTCCGTGCAGCAGCGCTGGCGGGGCTGAGCCCGGAGCTGCGGCGGCGGGCAGAGAGGAGCGGGCGGCAGGCGGGGTTACAACGAGGGCAGGCGGGCTCGCTGCGCGGCGCTGCCCCCTCCCCCTCTCCGGACTGAGGCGGCGAGAGCTCCCCCTTCCTGTTCCAGCCTCCTGCGGCCGCCAGCGCCGCCGCTGCCAGCCGGGGACGGGAGAGAGACGAGCGGGGCAGAGCCGCCGGCTGCTGGCTCTATGCTGCCCGCCCCGGCGCTAGGAGCCCGCCCCGGGGGGATGCTGGTGCTGGGATTGCTGCTGGGATAACCCCCGCCGCCCTCCTCCGCCTGCTACCGCCCGGTCCAGCCGGAGGATGCTGCCCGGGTCGCGGGGGACTCTGACTAGGGGACCAGCGGCAGCGTCCTCTCCTCCGGCTCCGAGCGCTCGTGCTGCCCCTGGAGCAGCCGCCTCCCCCGGGGAGCGATGACTTCAAAGCACCAGGCGGACTGGATCCCGTACAGGTAGGGAAGGCGCCTCCAGGGTGGTCCTGGTTCCTGGCAGGGAGCAAGGGCAGCCCGGGCACGACGGAGTGTGGGGTGGGCGGCTCGCCCTCGGCGCCTGGAAAGTTTTTAGGGAGGGGGTAAGGGGGGGGTCGCCTTGCTGGGCAGGGGGAGCAGCTCACCCCCCCTGTTTTGCTCCAGTTTGGGGCTGAGCGCGCCCCTTTTGTGTGGCGAAGGGCTCCCAGGGTGGTGGTCCTGAGCTGTGTTATCTCTCTGGAGGCCAGAGAGCCCATTGTTGTTCTGTTGGGGGAGTTCAACAGGCACCTCGCCTTTGCTATCCTGCTTTTCATGACTGGAACTTAAGTCGGCTGGATCTCTCTCTCTCTCTCTCTCTCTCTCTTTTTTAACACGCCAGAGAGATGGGAGGTACCTCAGGTTTCCTATAGCAAGCCTGGATACTTTCCTGCTTTTGTCTCCCAGGTAAAAGTGGGGGCACATCACCAAGTTATTGCCTTTTTTTCTCCCCGCTCCCCAGTCCTCTCAGATATAAATGGGCTCTAGGAGATCACTTGTGTGAAAGTGAGCTGAGATGGACCACCTGAGTAAGAGTCCAAATTTGGGGCCCAATCCTGCTCCCACAGAAGTTAATGGTGGCTTTACCTCTGACTTCTGTAAGAGCATGTTTAGGCCCATTGCCTGTGATCAATGAACCTCTCTGGCTGTTTTGGCTGAGGGGTGAAAACATTATCTAGTATCTATTCTTGGCAGTTGTGAAACCTACTTTTACTTTGCAGCTGAAAAGCTTTGTAACGGTTACACACGTGCTGTGTTCAGAGGCACCAAGGCTGTTTAGAGCAGCAGCAAAAGCAGCGGATAAGCTTTTTGGGGTATCTTGATGTTGATACAAAATCAGTTCTAAGGACCATTCCTGTTCTACTTTGTTTGTAGAATGAATTGCACCACGAGTTACGTGCTGCACTTGGGACTCATGTCTATTTGTAATTTCTTGCTGGATGAGGTGACTCTATTGAATAAAAGGGGCAGTCACTGGGGAATGGAAAGGAGTTTGGAGGGTGTTGCTCAAACAGATTAGGCACCTGGCTGAGGATCTGTAGACTGAATCCCCAGCTGGTTTGTATTGTAGGCATTGGTGGGTGACTTCTTTGTGGAAGAACAAAGTAACCTTTTGTATATGATGCCCCAAATAATTCCTTTCCTCTTGCCCATTCTGATACAGCATAGACACATTATGGGCCATATAGGAGCCTGGCAGTCAGTATTAGCTGCCCTCCCTGCTGCAGCTGCCATGGAGAAGAGCTGTGATTGCCATGGCAGCGCCAGCTATCGCTCTCTGTCATTGGTTCCTTGGTTGCCATAAGCTACCAAAGTCTCTGTCTGCTGGCTCTCTTTCTGGAGAGGTGTGTGCGTCAAAAGTGTGGTGGGCAGCACCTGTCACTCTAGAATGGATCCCCTTATCCCTGTTCGGGTGGAGAGGAGGAAGGGCTGCAAGATAGCCTGCAGATTGCAATCAGGGCTTGTGGGACAGCTGCACTTTAGGGGCTCTGATCCTTGTTTGTGTCTAAACTGGCACTGTGGTTGAAGTCATTAAGAGTTTGGGTGCACAAGGGATACAGGATAAAGGTTTCAGAGGATTGGTGTAGACAAGCAGGAGCTGGGGGGGGGGCTTTAGTCCTTCCCCAATGGTAATTGCATTAACAAATAAATTAACTTCTATCCCACAGTTTCCTTATCTCACTTTATTAAAAGTGGGCAAATTTAGTTATGGTACAAATCTACTTATGAAAGTGATATTTAGCTGCTTTATTATTTTTAACAAAAACAACAAGGAGTCCGGTGGCAGCTTAAAGACTAACAGATTTATTTGGGCATAAGCATCTGAAGAAGTGGGTTTTTTACCCATGAAAGCTTATGCCCAAATTAATCTGTTAGTCTTTAAGGTGCCACCAGACTCCTCGTTGTTTTTGTGGATACAGACTAACACGGCTACCCCTCTGATTATTTTTAACTTTACTCACTTCCAAAAAAAAAAGTTGCTTCTGCCCTGGCAATGGCTGCATTACAGATTGCTGATGTTGCATCTACAGGTTTATATCGTTGCCCTTGTGTATTTTGCCAGGTTTGGCTTTTGAATATTTTATTTGGTTTTATATTGTCTGTTTCATGAGGTTTCCAGTTGCTTGTACAGTGCTCTGAAGACCTTCTATTATTACTTATTTTTAAGAGTTTAATTTGCTTATCAGATTTCATTTAAAAATGTTCTGTGTTTTAAATTGAAGGGTTGCAAAAAGAAAGTGTCTGAGAGTTTTATTTAATATAATGGCTTCATGTTATTAAATCATATTTCAGGGCTTTAGTTACTGTACAACGAGTAGTTATTGGGTTATAAATGGAGATGTTTTAGTTTGAATAGGTATATTCAGAACATTGGTAGCACAACAAAACTATCTTATCCATGTTCCACCAGAGTCTGTGTAAATAAAACAATTCTTTATATGCAAATAAAGTACTCAACAATTTTAGGAGGAAATCATAATTTTTTAAAAAGTTCTTTACAGAAGACATTTTAAAAACTAGTACAACTGTTTGAAAAGTATAGTAGGGAAACTGCTTTGCCCCCAATATATGTTAACCTTTTTATGTGAATTACAGCTAGTGGTTAGATATCATAGTGACAGATGCACTATAATTACAGAAGATGAATAAATCAGTCCCTAACATGGAGTAAAAATAAGGTGGTTAATGATGTAAATGAAAACTAATGTTTTTCTTTAGGAAGATCCATGAAGATTTTAGTCCTAACGAACATAAGTAGTTCAGAGATTCAGGAGTTTAAAAATGATTACACAGAATGTAAGAATACTGTCATTGACTCCTGGACTGTGCCTTCAGGGTGTGTATCAGAGCAGAGACAGAGCACAAAAGAAGATGGAATCCTGCCCCAAAAGCCACTAGCTAAGCCTATGATGTCATTTGGAGCCATGTAGTAAAGAACAGTGTTCCACCAAATCAGTTGTTCCATGGCTCTTCCCTGTTGCAGCCTGGCCTTCACCTTTTCTCACGCAGTTGACAGGCCATGCTTCAACTTTGCAGAAGAGCTGATGGTGGCTATAGAGAGGGAAACAAAGCACAATGTGTTGCTACTTTTTCCTTCCATGCTGCTGTTTTGATCTCTTCTGTACTGCACAATTCATAGAAACATACTACCCTTGGCAGTGGTTCTTCATATTTGCCTCTTGTGGATATTTATCACAATCTGTCTGGTTTTATTTTTAATGCATGTTTTCTTTTACTATTACAACTAGCAACTGCTAAAAAAAAATAAAGTAATCAAATTCCTTCTGCTGTGAAGTAAATGTTTTTGTTTAGATTTATGGTAATATTATTAATTCTGTCCTATGGAACTCGAGCTCTTTATTTTTCATTTGAGAAAGGGCTGGATTCTGAGTGATGGTAAGCACCGGCAAATCCCATTAAACTCTGTAGTGTTCAGCATCCCAGAAGATGCAGCCCAAAATATGTTTATCCAGCAAACTTGAATCTCTAAAGTGTGTTTTTTTTCAGTAACTGGATTATATATGAAAAAGTGTTAGTAAATTAGGGCAAAACTTGCTCTTTTCAGAGATTTGCACATACACAGTAAGAGAGAACCCTAAAAATTGTGCACATAAACTATGTTCAGTTCTGTCTGAGGGAAAGTTTTACATTGGCTGATCTGCTTGGAGATGTGACTTCTTACCACCTCCTCTTGTATGATGTCATGATTTCAGTGGTTGTTAGCTTTTAAAGCTGAAAGGTCTGTTGCATACCTACTGTTGGCTGTCATATCCCACTCATTCAATACAATGGGGAAAGGGCTTGGGGGAAAAGCACTGGGACTGTTGGCATGCTGTAGTCCATAAAGACTTGTGTTTAACATAGCCTGAACTTCATTGACCTACATGCAGCATGGTACAAAAGCTGTAAGACCACTGCAGAATGAGAAAAGAAATTGTAGTGTGAGCTCTAAAACGATGATATAATGATATCACTTACATTGCTTATCCTTGCAATCTGACTATGCCAGTATGTAGATGCATATCTGAATTTATTCAAGCTTAGAGTCACTTCTTTATAAAATGTCAGACTGCTCATCTGAGTATAATGGATACACTTTTCCTTTAAAATGGAAGGAGACAGGATGACTACTAAGCAATCCATGAGTGTCTGAAGCTCATAATAGATTTTAGTACAATTGAGATATTGAAAATGTTTTGATCAAATTAACTAAAAATATGAGAGAATCCTTCCAGAATCAATGCTAGTTTTTGCTCCCCCGAAATGGATGAAAATTCATATTATTTGTTGGGTAGAATTTATAATATTTAACATTTTGTCCCAAATACTTTTTCTGTTCTATTCTATTCTCTCTTTTGTAGCATTAACACTGATAGGCTGTGGCACTGGAGACCTGCAGTATCACAAATGTGTCACCTGTTCTCTCTAGTCCAGGGATCGGCAATGTTCGGCACGCGGTTCGCCAGGGTAAGCACCCTGGCGGGCCGGGCCAGTTTTATTTACCTGCTTACGCGGCAGGTTCGGCCGATCGCGGCCCCCACTGGCCGTGGTTCGCCGTCCTAGGCCAATGGGGGCGGCGAGAAGCTGCGGCCAGCACATTGCTCGCCGAACTTTGCCGACCCCTGCTCTAGTCTAATGCAATCTAATATAGATTAGAGCTGTAAAATAAAAATGTTTCAATGAGACTACTCACATAAAGTCAAGCATATGAGTAAGTCTTTATAGGATTGGGGCCATAGATAGTTAATAAAAAAAAGTGGTTCTGGCCCTCATTATAAGGAAGCAAAAAGAGGTCTAGAGCCCCATTTAAAAAAAAATGTGTAGATTACCTGCAAAAATTCATTCCAATTTTCAGTAAGCTACATCTTCCTTAGGAAATGTTTTTGTTTCTCTGTGTTAAATATCTTGCTATAGTGTCGTTTGGCAGTTTTCACTGAAAAGTATTG